ATACCAGCACACCCGCATACCCCACACACAATTTCAGTCTTCCACATATCCCAATATGGGCCCCTCAACATCCAGCCTTAGCCCTGATATGGGAATGTCGGAAGATTACGAACAAACCGACCCAACCTACCATCAACCACAATATCACTAAACCACCCAACATCCTCAATACCAAACACCCCAAGATCCATTTCCTTTCTACCCACCGTACTCAGACGATCAATGCTACAGATCCACTATGGAACCCCACTGTGATCGGTGGATCTGGAACTGACTGTTTAACGTTGGTTCGCGAAATGTCGCGGAAGCAAGAGTCGCCACCGTCTTTTATTTTCTCCAATATGGAAAGGACAAAAGCACAGAAAAATTCCTTATAGAGATTGCTCTCGGTTCGGGAGGTAGATTATAGAAAGGGAAGGTGTTAGCACCCTTTCTATCCATGGTTATCCATGGGCTCTTAGATACTTGCTCATTTGTGTTTTCAAAAGTGGTTTGTTTGCTTTTCAACTGTGGGTTTTAAAAAGTTTCTTTGAAAATTCCAGTTCGACTCTTGTATCGATCCTCAAGAGTGTTTGAAAAATTGCTTTCGAAAGCTTTTTGAAAAGGTGTTGGTGTGAAAAGTATTTTTTGATTTGTTTTTGAAATTAGAGCAAGTATCTAGAGTCGTCTACCTACCCTAAGGAATTCGTCTGTGTAAATATCCTTTAAAGTAGTGCCATCCCACCATTGAGAGGTAGGTAGCACCACCATTGGAGGTGTTCGGGTCAATTCGAGGTTCGGGACATGATGATCACCAGAGCAATGGGAAGACACCTTAGAAGCTACCCTCATGCCAGGTTCCCGGATCATGAGGACTTACTAAGACATCCTCTACTCGACGATCACCTTTCGAAGGCAAGGCAACAGTGAGGCGTACCCTAGGGGTGGTGTATGCGAATTGTGTGTCGTTTTCGTTTGTATTTGTCTTGTCATGTTTATTGGTGTTCTACGCTTATTTTTATTATGGCCATTCATTCTTGCATGCTTTGTTTAACAGTTAAAAGTTGCGAGGAAAATACAAATCTAAAGCTATTACAAAAGGCGCGGGTCCACATCGCCAAAATTAACCAGGACCCGATTTGACAGAAAATAAATAAACAAAGCAAATAAAGAATTGAAAAGTGCGAGAAGTAATTTACATGGCTTCGGGAGAGGTACATAATTATTTAAGCAAAATAAAATAAATATGCGAAATTAAATCGAAACGAGGGCGTTGGACCCTTTTTGCAAAATATTAAAATTACATGAATTAATTAATTTAAGAAAAGATGTTTTTGGTATTTTTGATATTTTAGGATTTAATAGAAAAAAAATAATAGCAATTAACGCTAACCCTAATTCTATTTTATTTTAATTTATTAAGAAGACGTTAAAAATTAACCTAAATTAACCTTAATTTTTATATACAAATTTAATTATGAAAATAAATAAAATAAATAAATATTATTATAAAAAGGAAAATTAAAAGGAATAAAAACATTAATTAAACCTATTTCTACATTTTTTAGATTTTTTTATGAAAGGAATTAAAATTAAAACCCTAATTTAAACTAATTTTATTTACATGCATTTATTTACAAGAAATATTAAAATAAAAATGTTTATTATATTTTTTATCTTTTCTGATTTTTATGCATTTTTTATATTTTGTGAAAATAATTAATTAATTAAAGATAATAATCAAAGAATAAAAATAAGAAAACAAAAAGAGAGTAAAAAATTGCAAACCAAGGGGGGTGGTAGTCCCCAAATAGGAGGTTTGGCCTTGGTAATTCAGGCCCAATGACCTTCAGGTCCGTTTGACTTTCCCACTAGCGTGTAGCAATGTTGACCTGAGTTTATGGCGTTCCTCCATTCTATGCCTTTGGATTGATCTTGAGAGGGACGTGTCATGCTTGATTTGGAAGCGTATCATGGTCCCCAGTAAGTGAAACGGCATGTGAACCTGGATTGAAAAATAATATGAAGAATAATGCAGACCTGGGGCTCGAACCCAGGTCACATACCTTGCCAATCCTTATGCCCACCAACCGTGCCAATTTACGCGTTTGACATATTAATAACAAACAAATAATATAAAAGAAAACAAAGGAGTTAGTGGACACTGCGCGCGAAATTCAAACGGCCCTATCACCATATGCCACGAGGTCATCTTCTTCGCACATTTTTGTTTTCCTGAAACATGAATATTATAAGCAACGGTTTTATATGCGTTCTGTTAGGCAGCTTATGGGAAAATAACGATTAGCCCTCTAACGCTCATAAATTGAGCGCGAGGGTTCCATTGCCTTCGTCCAAATGCACTGGTTTGAATGGTGGTGGTCCTGAGGGCCAATTTTTCCCCAGTCGAAAACCCCTAATCTGAAGCTCTGTAAACCCTAAAATTCAAACATGGTGAAATCGTGTATACAACATAAAAACATAATTGAATGCATTGGTTAGCTTCAAAACTTCATAATGAACATGAATCAAGTATTAAAAATTACAAAGGATGCGTAAATCATGATGCACGATTATGAATTTTATTCGACACAGTCTGCACTCGTGTTACCAATTCTTGAGGTTCTGATGAGTATTCTTGATTGAGAATCGTTCAGTGGACCTTGAGGAAGCTAATGGAAGCAGTCTTGAGACCTGAATCGCCTTGCAAAGGTGTTTACAGTTTTGACTTTTTTGACAATTTTTTCAAGTTTGTGAATGGCTTTCTTGAGCAGCTATGCGTGTTTTTTCATTAGGGTTGTGATTCTTGTATATGTAGGAACAATTAGGTTAAGAAATTTGATCCAAAAGGCTTAGCATCCATGACTTTGAAAGATTTGATTTGCAAGATCTTTTTCAAATATTTTTCATATGTTTTTGTACCAATTAAGATCAAATCACTCCAAATCTTTCCACATTTGCATATGCACGAAATCTTGAGGCTAAAACATGTACAAAAAGATTTGTTAGGTTAAATTAAATATTTTTCACATATTTAAATGATTTAAATGAATTAATATAAATAAAAATTCAAATAAATAAATAAAAAATGAGAAAATACTTCCCTTTGGGCCAAGTGGTCGTGCACATGTCATGGATGATGAATTATGGAAGAAAAATGGGCCCATTAGCAATTTTAGGTCATTTGAATCAATGTTGACTTTTCAAAATATCCAAAAATTTCCCAACTTCCACAAGGCATAACTTGCTCAATTTTTAAGCTTTTCTCATGTTCTTGGACATTTTGGAAAGGTCTTTGAGTCCTATAACCAATGCCTTTGGTCCCATGTCATTTTGATTTACCAATCTCAAGTTATGGCCTTTGATTTAAAGTCCCTTTTTGTTGACTTTTGAAAATGACCTATAATGTTGAAATTGATAACTTTTTGTGAGAGCATTTCTTGGACTTGAAGTATGAAGATGAGTTGTAGAAAATGTCTTTCTCTTCAAAATGAGCTTTGGATGGAATTTTTCTGATAATCCATGTGAAAGTTATGCCCTGGTCAATTTCAGTTGACTTTTTCAGCTGTCCAAATAAGGAAACTTTTGCATCTTGATGATTTCTGAGCCAAATTTTGAGACTCGTGATCAAGCATTGATCAAATGATGTTTGTGGCTTAAAAATGATCTGTTGACCAAAAATTTGAACTTTTGACTGTCAAATGACCATTTTGCCCCTACAGTTGACTGTAGTGCAATTAGGGTTTTTGACTGTGCAATTTTGTGTTGAATGTCTTGAAACTTGATATGAGGATACTTGACCATATTTGTAAGCATGTGAGACTTGATTGAGCCTTTGGAAACTTCATTTTCTTGATCAGAACACAAACCCTAGTTTTGACTGTATGGGAGACCTTTGCACTGTGCAACCCTTGGGGAATTTTGCAGCTTGATTTGGCAATTTCTTGGAGAATATGGGAGGGAAAATTTTGGGGTACAACACCCACCCACCGCTAACACGACCAAACTTTGAGGGTATGAGTAACCGACTATACCAAAGCGGATCTTCTAGATATGGAGATCTGACTAATTTTATGGATCCGGACCGCATTGACTTCGCTGGGCCATCGACCTTGCCGCAGCAGGAAACGCGACGACACCCAGCACGAGAAAGGCGAGGACGGGGATGCGGAACCGGGGATCATTACCGGGTTCCGGGGGATCACTGATTTATCTGTTTTTTTTTTCTGTATTTTTTTATCCATTTTTTTAATCTATTTTTTTATCTGTTATTTTAATGTAATACAGTTGGATGTAATTATTTTTTTTTAATAAAAAGTCCATTTAGTTGATCCTCTGTCCAACACGCAACGCACCGGACAAAAAAAAAATCAATTTTTGCCCTAAAAATACACCTAGGCGCCATCTCACTTGGCTTAGGGCATGCCCTAAGCACATAGGCGCCAAGTGAGATGGCGCCTCCTCTTAAAATATAGGTGCATGCGCCATTTCAGATGGCTCCTCCTTTGAGGAATCATCTGAAACATGGTTATTTGCGTATTTTTTCCGAAACGCGGTTATTTGCGAAATATTATTTTAATAATTGGTTATTAATAAAAAAAATTCAAATAAATAGCTTTAGTATTTACCTATATTTATTAAAACATTATAGATGTCTCACACTTTTCACTAAATTAATGATATTGACCAAATGCATCAAACTGGCTCACTTTGGTCCCTCCACTAAAAATACATTCATGATTAATCATCTCATATTCTAAGCCCCTTCTATGCTACCAACTCATATTAACTAAAATTGAAAGTGACTTTCAAAAGTTGTTAATAAACATTTCCATTATCTTTACATATAACTTTACATGACAAGCTAGAATTTGGTGAAAATTAATGCTAAATATTTTTGTGTTTTTCCTAATTGATCATTCATTGCTTATTCTCTTAAAATACTAAGAAGCAAACTTTTTTTTTCCTTTTAAAAAAAAAACTTAAAAGAAAATTACAAATAAATTGAAGAAAAATTCAAATCAAAACAATCCATATGCCCAAGATTCTGAATCCACAATCATGGCTTCAAATGCTTGCTTTCTTTCACCATTATTAACACAACCACCATCATCATTAATCATAAAATTCAAGCTACTAATAAAGTCATCATCCCAAAAAGCCAAATTGTTGCTATTGTTCTCTTCCTTGTTATCATTATTAGACCATTCAAAATCAGGGAGTTGGAGATCTTCAAGAAAATTGGTTGAATTTGATGTAGATGATGAAGAGGTTGAATTTGACACTATAATCTCATTAGGTTCTAATATTGGAACTTCATCTATACAAAATCCATCAATTAACTCCATTGTGTCAAATAAGGGTGGTATTGTAATTTCACCTTTTTCTTTCATTTCAATGTTACTTGATGATTCAATTGAAGTCTCTTGCTTCTCAATCTTTGTGTCAATGTCAATTGTCAAAGGTTGTTGGTTTTGTTGTTTTTCTTCTATCGGTTGGTGTAGTTGTTGTTTAGCTTGATTATGAGTTTGATTAATTGTACTACTGATTAGTGGTTTGTGAGTGATAGGGTCAATCCCCATTTTCTTGAGCTTTTTCTTTATGTGAGTGTTCCAATGATTTTTTATTTCATTATCTGTCCTTCCTGGTAGATGAGAAGCAATCTTAGACCATCTGTAAAAAAAAAGGAGAGCAAATTTCTAACAAAATAAAATAAAAAATATTTATAATTGATTGAATAACCAATGTATATACCAGAGTTATATATAATCTAAATATATTTTTTATTTAATAAATTAAAAACGTAAGTTTTTTATAAATAAAATCGAAAAGAGTAAAGATTTAAAAAACACGATTATCTCATTAATTTTATTTTGTATAACTCATAAATCTCTACATTGTATGTAAAAATTAGGTGTGACAAACGAGTATGTCCGTTCTCTTTAGGTCAGTCCTGCAAAAGTTTACAAAAAGATGGAGCAGGACGAAACAGACATAGTTGAGGATGAAGGTCTAAAACCTAGATCCGTCCTGTGAAAAAGTGAGTGTAAGACGGAGAAAATCTGCGGATATTGCACTTTTTAGATTTAAAAATGTAAAATTTTATACTAATAATCATGTCTGCAAAAGTTCGCGAAGAAAACGGAACAGAACGAGACGGTCACATTAGAGAGTAAGAGTCTAAATTCTTGATCCGCCACACACTAAAGTGCAGATAAAACGGACATATCCCAATAAACCAGAATAGAAAAAAATTATACTAGACAATAACAATTAAATTAAAAGATAAATAATTTAAATTTTTTTTATTTTCATATCCAACCTATAATTGCGAAAAATAAGTTAATTTTTTAAGTAATAAATTTTATTCTTTTATATAAATACACATAACTCTATTATTATAATTTAATACTTTCAAGCAATAAATCTTTTCTCTTTCTGATTCACACATTTATAATCAAATGTCCGTATTATTATCAATTGTATCGAGGTTTCTAATTCACACATTTATAATCAAATGTCTGTATTATTATCAATTGTATCGAGGAATGATAAGTGTACACTATTTTCTTACACTAACACTGTATTTTTATACATATATCGTACAAGTTTTATTTTTTAATCATTTATATTGTCTTGAATTTTGTGCAATAACATTTGTCTTAGTAAGTTCTAAGATGTAACAACATAAGGTGTTTGAAAAATGAATGTCAAGATAGCACAGCTCATACGTAAATTATGCATCACTTAAAGGGAAGAATGACTTTATAGGCACTGAAAAGCTCCATCTTCCAAAGTCATTCAAGTTAAGAAAGAAAGAAAAATTGTCTACAAGACAAATTTGTCCTCTATTTACTTTTCCATATACAATAATTAATAAGTTCATTTTCAGTCAACTTTAACTTCAATTATAACTAATGTTTATTTTTTTAAAATAGAAACCTTGGTATATAAAAAATGTATACGTCTCTATCTCATTGATGGTAAGAGGTGGGACCATGTTTTTTATTCCAAAATTTAACAAATGCTAAACTATTTACCACTTGAAGAGCATGATTATAAAATTAATTAATTCAATTAAGTTAGTGCCTTTGTGGTCATATGTTACTATTATGACAATTATTTAATTTAATTATTTATTTATTAAATAAAGAAAATAAACAGGGGGAAAATGCTACCTGTTTCCAAGTTGAGCATGAAGATCAATGACCATTTTCTCTTCATATTCTGATAAAAGTCCTCTTTTTAAATCCGGTCTCAAGTAATTTGTCCATCTAAGTCTACAACTTTTACCACACCTTAATAACCCTGCATGATGAATCATAATTGCAATTTGTAAAAAAAATTTAAACTTGGCTTATTAAGGATTAAATTTATAGTTTTGTGAAAAGATTTTCAATGTTAGTATGTCACACGGTAACACATTTGACGTCAATTATCTGTAATATATGATCATAAATTACGGATAGCGACAGTCAAATGTATTTAAAAGTGATTTATGAAAGAAGAAAAAAAAAGAGAAATGAAAAGAGACCTGCCAATTTAGGGACAGCCCTCCAGCAGCATTGACCATTAGTGAGGATAAAAGTGATGAGCTTCTTGTCTTCCTCAGCAGTCCATGGCCCTTTTTTCAATCCCACTTTCTCACAACAAGGTTGCCTTCCCATTTTTGTTTTGAGGATAATATAAAGATTTGAGAGGCTAAGGGGGTTGTTATTTTGAGAGACACTTGAGAATTATAATAGTTAGGATAGAGCACCATCACCTACTTATATATACAAAATTCAGCTAGTGTGTTCTAAACTCTTATAAGTCGACTATGACCCATAAACCCACTATCTCTATTTTTTATTCTATTCAATCATCAATTTAAGCTGTTCACATTTCATTTCAATGTACTTTGAAATTTATTTTTTGTGTTGCTTTAATTATCGACTTATAGTTTACATAGGACACGTGTGAAGGAGGATGTGATTTAGGAACACGTGTTGTGTTAGTTTTTTTTTTTTTAAATTAGTAAAAAAATTTGCGTTCACGGATCACACGATATCATTTTTGTGTAAAATTAAATAATTATTTATTTATTTTATTTGAACGTGGAATATTTCAGATAAAATTATAAATTATTTTATATGTATGATATTAAACTCTAGATATTATTTAATGTTCATAATATTTAGATTACATAATTATAGAATGATTCGTGTATTCGTATGAATCGTATAAAATTAATATAAATATTATATAATTATAATTAAAAAATATATATAAAAAAATAAAATTTTCAATGATGATTGTCACATAAATTTTAATTGAATTTATTAAGTTATAGTAATTATCAGGATATACATAAAAATTATGTTAAAAAGTATATGAGTATATAATTTAATACACTTCATATATATATATATATATATATATATATATATATATATATATATATATATATATATATATATATATATATATATATATATATATATATATATATATATATGGGTGTGTTTTTGCGTGAGTTGTACAACATTGTTATAAATAGTAAATAAATATAATATAATGATGACTAAGAAATGTATATAAAATATATATCAATTAAATACACTACAAGAATAATGTGATTCAGCTTGGGGCAAATGCCTAAGGGTTAAACTCCTAGCTAAATTTAACATTAGCTTGGAGTTATCCTCTGACTAAATAATATACAAAAAAAATTTTAAAATTTGGAGCTCCCCGTAGCTAAATTTTAGGAGGGAGTTTGAAAATAAATCCGTTGTCTATTTGCGAGGGGGTGGCACGTGAGAAAAAGAAAAATCATTTAGCGAGGGGCTAACACCTCGCCAATAAAAATAGTTGTTGGCCATTTGCGAGGGGCCATCACCTCGCCAACAAATATGTAGTTTTGCGAGGGGCTATCCCCAAGCCCATTTTTACATCATTGCTACGCCTGAACCATCTCTGAACCAGCTTGCGTGTGGCAGGAAAACAACATTTAGTGTCAGCTAGCGAAGAGCTAGCCCCAAACTAATTATGGTACCGTTTGACACTTAGCGAATGACTAACCCCAAGCAAAATTGTACACCATTTGCGCTCTATATCTTCCTCTTTCTCTTCTATTTGTTTCATAAACCATACAAATTTCAAATTCTCTCTTCTCTGAAACTCTCGTCCTCCTCCTTTCCTTCATTTTTTTCCTCCATCAACAAGCTTTGTTTAATAAAGCTTCAAGGTATGTAATTTATTTTATTTTTTTATTGAATTTTTTCCTGAATTATATGTTATATTTAGCTAAATTAAATTGGTTTAGATATGTATTAGATTTAGTTGATATAATTATATACGTTAGATTTAGTTTATAATATTAAGTTAATTGTTAATATTCTGAAAATATAATATATATTTTATAATTTTTTTCTTCAAAAAATATATTAAAATAGTTTATATATTATATATTTTTTTATTTCGAAAATATATTATATAAAATATATTTATTATATTAAATAGTATATTAAAACAGTTTATATATATTTTTTATTTTAAAAATATATTATATATTATATATTTCATTATATTAAATAGATTATTAAAACAATTTATATATATTAAATTTTTTATTCCAAAATATATTATATATTATATATTTTATTATATTAAAACAGTTTATATATTTAATTATATTAAATAGTTTACATATTATATATTATATATCATAAAAACAGTTTATATAAAAATATATATTTAATTTATATAGAAAACAGTTTATTTAGATTATAAATAATATGTTTAGTTATTTTGAAAAATATTATATATTTAGATTATATTAAAAAAAGTATATTTAGTTTATATAAATATAATAAATATTTAATTAATCTAAATAATAGTATATTTAATTTATAGAAAAACAGTATATATTTAATTTATATCTAACTTAAATACTTAGTATATTTAGTAAATATTTAGTTTAAATAAAACATAATATATTTAATTTATATAAAAAAATAGTATATTTAATTTATAAATAGTTTACTTAGTTATTTTGGAAAATAATATATATTTAGTTTATATTAAAAAAAGTATATTTAGTTTATATAAAATATAATAAATATTTAATTAATCTAAATAATAGTATATTTAATTTATTAAAAAAACAGTATATTTTTAATTTATATCTAACTTAAATACTTAATATATTTAGTAAATATTTAGTTTAAATAAAATATGATATATTTTATTTATATAAAAAAACTGTATATTTAGTTTATAAATAGTTTACTTAATTATTTTGGAAAATAATATATATTTAGTTTATATAAAAAAGGTATATTTAATTTATATAAAATATGTCAAATATATAGTTAATCTATATAATATTAGTATATTTAGTTTATGGAAAAAACAGTATATTTAATTTATATGTAATTTAAATATTTAGTATAAATAAAATATAATATATTTAATTTATATAAAAAAATAGTATACTTACTTATTTAAAAAAATAGTATACTTACTTGTTTAGTATATAAAAAAATATATTTAATTTAAATAAAACATAATATATTTAATTTATATAAAAAAATAGTATACGACATAATCAAATTGGACCAAAATATTCCTATTATTTTCTGCAAATTGGAGTAAATATTTCCGCCGGGTTTCTTTGATTCTATGGAGCATCTCCCTGTGCATCTCGCTTATGAAGCTTTCCTCGGTGGACCTGTTCAATACAGATGGATGTATCCATTTGAACGTTTCATGGGTGATTCAAAGCGATCAGTGAAAAACGAGGCAAGAGTTGAGGGATCAATATGTGCACATTACTTGCATCGCGAAACATCAAATTTTTGCTCCCATTATTTCAATCACATGATGTTGACTCCAAGAATCATAAGGAACGAAGTTCACTTTATTGAAAGAAGTCAATTCATCTTATATGTTTTCGGTCGTCCTGGCCGTTCAGCCAGAAAGACAAGTGATCATCGGTTGTCTGAAAAAGAAATGCAATCTGCTCATGTTCATGTGTTGATTAATTGCCATGAAGTCAAACAATATCTTGAGTAAGTATATAAATTAAATTACGTATATATTTATTACCTTTGAAATATCTTATTCTCTAACCTATTATTCATTTTGAAATAGGGCATTTAGTACCAACTATTTCCAAAGCACAGGTAAACAACCATCGACTGGTTACACTCATGCCAATTTTCCTACATAGTTCAAACAACAGCTATCACTTATTTTTGCACCAAGTCCTGAAATAATTCATTTGAAGAGTTTGTTTGAAGGCCCTCATCAACGTACAAATCAATGGCATACATACTTTGTAAATGAATATAAATTCCACACTAAATCATGGACAGAAGGGAAGAAAACAATAAATAGTGGTGTAGTTGTAAAAGGAATTACAGAAGATGGTGAGGACGACTTCTATGGTGTTATCACACATATTTATGAGTTGGTATATAATTATATGGACTCGGGAAATAGAGTTGTCTTATTTTATTGTGACTGGTATGATCTATCTTCTAGAGGAACAAAAATAAACAAAAAAATACAATATTGTTGAGGTTCGAATGGACAGGTACAAAGAGTATGACCCTTTCATAATGACACATAATGTTAGGCAAGTTTATCACGTACCTTATCCTTACATTCAACCACGAAAACGAGGATGGTGTGTTGCAATCAAGTCTAACCCAATAGGTCATATTGAAATTGGAGATGTAATAGAGGATGTTGCATTCCAAGATGATGATATTTCACCTGTCAATGGGGACATTGAAATTGAGGAGATTGCAACCTTGTGTGATACTACAGTTGAGGGTCAACAAGTTGACACCACTATTTTATTGACGCCTGTGAAAGAGGAGCATGAAGAGTCAGGAGAGTTTGAAGACTATAATAACATACCTGATGAAGATAGTGAAGATGAGCATGAATGATGATTAATTTGTGTAATATTAACTTGTTTAATATAATTTGTGTAATATTATTTTATTCATGTCTAACAACTCTTGGGTAATAATATTATTCTTTCCTGAATTATTATATATTATTCTTGTAAGTTTGATGTATCAATTATTTTATGTTCATCTTTCAAAACAGAAAAAAATGCCACCCCGACGTGAAGATAAGGGTAAGACTCCAGTAGATAAGTCTCGCCGCAATCGATCGAGGTATATTATAGAAGAGGTTCCTGACACGACTAACCTTATTTCTATGCCACAATCTAGTCAACAACCACATCGTCCTCTTATGAGTCCCACTCCACCATTAATGCATCCTACTCTACCACATATGCATCCCACTCCACCATTTATGCGTCCCACTCAACCATCGATGCATCCCACTCTACCACAAATACATCCCACTCCACCATCTATGCGTCCCACACCACCATCTATGCATCCTTCTCCTTCTACATTCACAGACCTACTATCCACACCTTATTCTACATTTCTTGACATTTCCCCCTCAGCGTTTCTTAGTCCTCCTGGACATACATCTTATATGCCCCAGGCTGAACCTAGCACCTCCATACCTACTATAAATCCAACATTTACGCAATATAGGGATCCAGGTGGTGGATCTAGCACATCACATTCATCACCCATGCATTCTCCGCATGATGAGCAGGGTGATGATGATGACCATGCAGAGCATGTTGTTT